TCAGATTCAGATTCAGATTCAGATTTAGTTTATTTGTATGCCGCCCTTCTCTGGGAGGGACTCAGGGCGGCGAACAACTCAGAAGGGAAAAAGGGGACACAAACACAATACACGTAATTAAAATACACAAGAGTCATACAGCCATACAAGTCGAGTTGTTGAGAGAGGGTTAGTGCATGAGTAACTAAGGACCTCCCACTCAAGTGTGTCAACCTTTTAAAATTCACGGGCTAACATTTATTTACCAAACTTAGAGATCACCCATTTCATTTACAGAGCGACTCTGGGCAATAAAAATAAAAACAGAGATACTAATGCTTTTTGTGAGCTTATTACCCATCGCTATTTCTAACCAATTTGAATTATTGAGTGAGGAATATTGCAAACTAGCAATACTGTATATCCACTTTTTTTTCCTTTTTATATTTTCCTTTTTTTCCATTTCTGTATTAAAATATTAAAATCCATAGTTTAATCTGAGTTCCACCACATTAAAACCTCATCAAAATGGATGAATGAGAAAGCCTTCTCTTTACTGATATTAATGAATAATATGCTGGTTCTTATCAGGATGAAGTTCTGTATAATTTTTGGAGACGATATCTTCACAAGAGCAAACAGGGATTTAGTGACAAGCCTCTCAGTGATGTTAGTCATGATATTTCATCTGTAAGTATAACATTCAAGAGAAATAATAACGGCCTTCTTTCCACCTATACAGTTATATAGCACTTATATACGAGCTGTGGTGGAGCAGTGGCTAAAATGCAGTATTGCAGACTCAAACTGCCAGCAGTTCAGCAGTTTGAGTCTCACCGGCTCAAGGTTGAGTCATCCTTCCATTCTTCTTAGGTCAGTAAAATGAAGAGCCTGATCATTGGGGGCAATATGTTGATTTTGTAAACTGCTTAGACCGGGCTGGAAAGCACCGTGAAGTAGTGTATAAGTCTAAGTGCTATTGCTATATAAACACATTACATCCAACGCTTAAATTACAAATCACGCTTACCTCGCAGTTCCTTGAAAATGTACATTTGCTACTATATTTGATAAAATAAGCTAACTTTATAGTAAATTTTAGCAATTCTGAAATATTCTGGTTTCCAGAACGTTTTCCTAAGTCTTATTGAATAATGGTTGTGCGACTGTTGTCTACTTTTATTATTTGTATTTTGTCTTTTATGTTCCCCCTTTTTTCCCCCCTTGAATTGTT